CTGTTTTCTGACAGTCAGAGTCCCGTCATATTGTCTTTTGTTGCAAGTCCAACAAAGCTGATAGATGTCAGGGTCCGCCCAAGATGCCAGTGCATGGCTCTGGTGTAATATCACAGTTATATACTTCTGAGAAGCACTTAAAGATATCTGACCAGAACTTATTTAGCTTGAGGCTAGACCAGAAGAGGTAGCCCAAGGTGCCCTCTGCTGATTTACATTTTGGAGAAAGTGGACTGAGGCATAAAAGGAGTGTGATTTAGCACAGGAGTAGGGCAGCCTACTTTAAACTGAATAAAGTTGGTGTCCAGAGTTTATGGAGGGGGGTAAGTTTCCCGGGTTTCATCACCAACTGTGATGCCAAAGTCTGTCCTACATGTTTCCTTCAAATACTGCGCACAGACCGAATTATAAGCTGCGAAGAGATCAACAAACTGAGAGAGATCCGGGGCTGACATGATGCTTTGATCTACGTTTGATTATACAGAGTGACCAGTCATCTCTTTTTCCCTTTAAAAATTACAAGCTGTGGTATAACAGGTTATTTGCTGGATTATTTATGTGCCAGAAGTAGTGACTTTCGTATTCCCTCAAATGTCAAACTATTTCTTTAAAGTCCCGGTACAGTCTGTGCTGTGAGGTATTTTCTAGTAAAATGGAATATTTGAGCGGTGTAAAGTGACAAGAGGGATTTTAATCAAATCCTTAGAACAGCAAAACATATTTGAATAAAGGTAATAGCCTATTAAGTCTAAATAAGCCCGTAACCAGTTAACACCAGGACACAGGGTTAAAACTGTGAAAATGTATTTTTTAATGTTGGAACTGTGAGTGAAAAACTTCCAAAGCTCCACTGGAGTTGATGCCTACAATACCTGATGTGGTTTGTTGATGTGGTTGCATAGACAAGCTACGGAGAAGCATGCCCAACCTGATCCGAGCTCCCAGCATGCCCAGTGTTCCCAGCATTCCGTGTTTGGCATCCCCCGTCAACCCACCCTCCCACAGCCCCTCCTCTTTGCCAATGATATCCTCCCTCCGGAGCAGCCAGAGCTTTGACTCTTCCAGTGGGCTTGCACGACTCCAGTCCTCCAGTAAGACTCTCTTCCTCAGGTCTATGAATAAATCAGCCGGCTCATTTTTATTCATGAGTAAATGTGGATCTCTGTTTTCTGATCGCATGGCAGTTTCAAATTCAGTAATTGCAGTTCTGTCACTGATGTTAGACTTTCTTTCATCTAACAACCCTCTCGCTGTTTCAGTTCCCTCCCCAGGCCAGCTCAGCCAGCGAGTCCAGAGCGTAGGGAACTTCCCCACCACTCCCCGACACCCGCTAAAAGCCACAGCCTACGTGAGCCCCACGGTGCAGCAGGGCCCCACCTCCACCTCGCTGTCCAGCTCCGTCAGTCTACACTCCATCCCCAGCAGTGCTGCGCTGCCTCAGCCCCTCAAACCCAGCAGCAGTTTGGTACCACAGCCCCTAAAAGCCAGCGCCAACCAAGCAGCTGTCACCCGCAGCTCTCTTCCTCGCCCGGCGTCCTTTGTGGGAACAGGTGGAATTCCACGTGCAAGCAAAATCACCCAACCCACACGCAGGTGAGGGCAGATATACTGACTAGTGTGTGTAAAGGTCTAGTGTGTAGAATTTAGTGGTCAGGTTGCAGATTACAACCAATTAAGACTTCTCCTGTGTGCCAAGCGTGTAGCAGAACTACGATGGCTGACATGAAAATGCAAATGGCCATATCTTGAGCTAGCGTTTGGTGTGTCCATTCTGGGCCACCTTAAAAACAACATGGTGGAGTCCATGGAAGAACACCCACTCTGTATTTAGATAAAAAATGGCTCATTATAAGTTAACAAAAACATGACGATTCTTATTTCAGGTGATTATAAATTAATGAAAACATAGTTATGAATATTATTCACCATTTCTCCCATAAATCCCACTAAATCCTACAAACTGGACCATTAATATGACTCAGTCTGCAAAACCTGGAAGCATGATGCATTTTGAAACTGGGTTAGGAGCTGTGTCCCAAATTCCATACTGCATACTAATTTTAAACAAGTTTTAGTTTGCAGTGTGTTCATACAAGAAAACTGACAAGTGTACTTAAAACAGTATGAGTACGAAAGGACCCTTCATTTCTGTGTGTACTGTTCTCCCACAATGCAATGCACAAAAGAAAGGAAGGACCAACACAAAGCTGGGATAGTTCAGATCTTCTGAGGTGGGGTTGTTCGAGGCACTTATCCATAGTCAGTGTATTACAAGCTGTAGATGTCAGTCGGCATGACCCCAGTTTGAAAAGCTGGCAGGAGTAGAAGGTAAGCATTGCACTCTTGTGGACGGGGGCAGCAGCAAAATGTATTTTAGCCACATGAAAAAAGTCCTACCTAAAAAAAAACAATATCATGTTAAGTGTGCATTATATTTAGAATATTTTTACTGCTTTACCTTACTGTCAGACGGCCCAATTTGTGAGGGAAGCTGTTAACAGCATTAGCTCTCATGCTCTCGTCAAAGCCACCAGACTCCATTGACAAAAACAGTAATTTAAGCTCGCTGAACACAGGAGCTGCTGGTCTACCGCTGCCTCAATAAGGTGGTTGGTTTGTGTTACAGTGTAACTTTGGTGAATCCAAAAAAGCCATTTTAACACCAAAGTCAAGCAATAACACAAACAAACAAACAAACTGATCGAGGCAAGGTTACAACAGCAGCTCCTGTGTTCAGTGATGTTAAATTACTGTTTTTCTGAGTGGAGTCTGGCTTTGAAGACAGCAATATAACAACCTCAGTATCTCACAGGGAAACCCCTGTCTGGCGGCAAAGTATAGCAGTGAAAGTATTCTCAATACAGTGCACACCTAAACTAATATTGATATTTTTGGGTCGGACCTGTTGTAGGAGACTACACTACATATTGCTGCTGCCCCTGTCCACAGCAGAACATTGCTTGGCTTCTCTGTTGGTACTCCCGCGTGCTTCTCCAAAGTGGGGCCGTGCTCGATATTTACTGTATATAATACCGCTGCCTGGCTAGTACATTACTTGCTTAAACATATTTTCATATTTTTCTTAGCTATTTTTCTTAGCTCTTAATTTCTTTTTTGAATATTGTATTGTTATTGTTGTCTTATTTTCATGCACTTTGTCAAGCACTTTGTAACCTTGTTTAGATAAGTGCTACAAAAATAAATTCATTATAATTATTATATAATTAGTAATACAGTAATACGTTAAATATGTGACAGTATACAATGTAGAGTAATATATAGTGCATTCTGTATTATCAGTTGATTAATCAACTCATCATTTTGATAAAAAAAACACAAATAACAACTATTTTGATCATTGATTTTTTTTTAAGTCGTTCTTTGAGCAACAGTGTTAAACATTTGATTGTTTCAGATTTTCATCTGTGAGAATTTGCTGCTTTCCTTGGTATTACATTATCGTAAATTAAATATTTTGGGCTTTTGAGCTGTCGCTCGAACAAAATAAGACATTTAATAATGTCATCTTGTGCTGTGGGATATTGAGATGGAGATTTTTCATTGATTTCTGATGTTTTATAGACCAAATGAAAAAATGTAGTATGAAACTGGGACACATGTTTAAATATTTACACTGATCGTCCTGAGGGAGGTGCTGCAGTTTAAGGTCAGACTTCGAAAGGGAAACTAAACCAGTCTGTCTATGATACTTTAGGGGGGTAGTGCATCTTTTAAATATAGGTGTTTAATCAACTTGTTTCTGTCTGTGTGCAGTTTGCTGACTCCTCCAAAGAGCCTGGCTGCCCTGAGCGCCCTGAGGGATGGCAGCTGGAAAGACGGCTGCTACTGAACCCAAATAAACTGAAGTTCAAGAGGTGCACAGGGTAACGCTGCATGGGATCCAACTGATTTAAAGTGTTGCCGTCAGGAGGGCCCAGTTTTGGGCTGCGACCCAAGACAGAGTGACTGTTAACATTTCTAAAGGGCACTACCCTTCACTGAAGGACAGGGCAGACACTGAGAACAGCGCTGGTCCAGCAGGCTGGATCTTTACATTACTACCTGCTAAAAACACAGACTGACTCGTTACGAAACAACCTGGCAATATTCTGATAATCAGCTGTTAAATGTGAATTGGATCTTCTTTGATATGTGTTTTTTGATTTGTCATTGTGGATAGTTAAGGCTTTCATTCGACAGAATGAAAATTTCTCTCCAGTTGAAAGCTTAGAAAAGAATAGCCCATGCTTTTGTACATGCTTTTAATGATTTCTTATGACTAATTTTGCAATTATTGATTTTTGTCGGACTGTGGTGTCAGATATAAAGTTGAACCTGGAAGTTTTGTTACATCCTGTGCCTGTTTAAAAAGTAGTGTAAGTCATGTTATATTTATTGGCTAAACCTCACAGCACTTTGATCAGAATAATGATTAATACATTAAGGTAATTTGCTTTGTTTCTTCGCTAAAGTAAGTGCACACACATTATCTTTTCTTTCCATTATTGTTTACATAAGAGCAGAGATTTTTAATGTTCTTTGATAAACAAAATCGCTGCAATGATATTGCACAAAGAGCCCTGATGCTTTTTATGGATGACAAGAATTTAAAGAGGAGGTGAATTTTTAAAGTGAATAAAAGCCTTTCAAAATATCTTTCTGTCTGTCTTAATATGGTTATCCCAGCTAACACTGGGCAAGAGGCGGGGTACACCCTGGACAGGTCACCAGACTATTACAGGGCTGACACATAGAGACAGACCACCATTCACCAATTAACCTGCATGTCTTTGGGCTGTGGGAGGAAGCTGGAGTACCCAGAGAAAACCCACGCTGACATGGGGAGAACATGCAGATCTAATGATGATTTCACTCTAATGTCAGCACAGTACACTTGTTTACCTGGTCTGACCAGACGACTGTTAACTCCCCAAGGGACTCTGGAGTCAAAGTGACTAATGTTTAACAGAGTAGTGTGTTGATGAATCTCCCCAGTAACACTCAAACCACGCTCATTTTTGACACACTGTACCTCAGGGTGAGTGATTCAGATCTCTGCCTGCTATATTTTTGTCTGTGAATGTATGTTTATTATACAGCAGTCAGTGATATCTGTGCGAGAAGTGCTTCTTACAAGATCTTTGTTTAATAAGGTTTATAAAGACAGTTAATTAGAGGGTGACTCGCTCTGCTGATCTGTTGGAATTTGAGATAATGCCCAACAAAGCCCAAGAGGTATGTGATCTGTAATCTGTTTTTGCTCCCATCAGTAAAATATTTCATTAATACTGTAATTTAAATACATTTATCTTTAGGTGACTTTGCATGTTGTTTTGTTTTGTAGGATGCTGTAATTAACCTGAAGACGCTGCAGGAGATTTCCACCCAGCTTGGTTTTGAGTGGACAGTTTTGGCGTATGAGCTCGGCTTCAACAGAACTGAGGTTGGGCGGTTCCACACCAAATCTACTGAGAAGAGTGTCCAGGCCAGGACCATGTTGGAAAGCTGGTAAGTGTGTGTGCATGTGTGAAATTTCTCCAGGTTCTTTCAGTGTTCATTGTTAATGAGGTTTTTATCAGGAGCAGGTCTTCTCCTCCAAAACAAACAGACATGTTGATTTAAACTGGTAAAAACACTGAATAAAGCAGGACCATGTTATGAATTCATGTTTCTCCAATGCTATATGGCTCATCCAAGACATGCACCTGCTGATATGTGTTTACCTTTCTTCTTCAACTTCAAGATCAATATCCAGATGTTGAGGTTTTGTTGTAAAACTGAATTATCCACAGAGGTCTCTTCCTCTCAAAAACAAACCAACATATTCTCACTCCGACCTTGTCACATATTGAGGTTTGGTCATGGACTTTCAACGTCCGGATATGACATGAAAGGTACCCTGGGTGCGTTGGTTGTTGACGTTCTGGGACGCTGTGTCAACTTCAGCCTGTTACATACATTGTCTTCTTTCAAAATACATGTACGTTTTGACAGGAAAACAACCCAGGGTTTGAGCGCCGCTCTCTGGAGTGAAGATTGACCCGCTGTGTTTCCCCCTGACGCTGCCAAGTGCCATTTAACTATAACAGTGACTGGCTCTGTATCATGCCGATGATAAAGGATGCCTTTTTTCATTGGTTCCTGATGCCACAAGTTGCTGCCCAAGCGCCGGATTTTGACGACTTCGGAGTGAGACTCATACTGCATGTTGTAGAGGGGCTGCTAACTAAGGTGGCTGATGCAAAAACGTGGATGGCCCTGTGTGTTTAGTTTGTCCATTCTGGGCTACTGTAGAAGCAGTGCAACATGGCAGACTCTGTAGACGAGGACCCGCTCCCTACGTAGATATAAACAGCTCATGCTAAGGTAATGAAAACACAGTGATTCTTATTTTCAGGTGATTATACACTTACGACAACATATTTACATTATATTCCATTTCTGCCAATATATCCCCCTAAATCCTGCACACTGGACCCTCAACATGTCCCTATGCTGACATAATGCTTCAATATATGGGGGAGATTATTCATATAAGGATAAGCATATAAGGATCCAACTACACTGGCTCCCTGTTCAGTACTGGATTGATTACAAAACCCTCTGCTCACCTTCAAAGCCCTCTGCAACGTAGCCCCCACCTATCTCTCTGACCTCCTCCAGGAGTACACCCCCTCCTGCTCCCTGCGCTCTTTCTCTGGTGGTCTCCTGACCTTTTCCACCTCACGTCTCAGCACTATGGGTGCTAGGGCTTTCAGCTGCACTGCCCCCACGCTCAGGAACTCCCTACCCCCACACATTCAACAGCCTGACAGCATAACATCCTTCAAATCCCTTCTCAGAACCCACCTTTTCAAACTGGCTTATGCACTTTAACAATGACTGTACCCTCTGTATACCTATCATTGACATCACTGTCCTTCTGTATTCACAGGTATGAAAAGTCATGGGACAAGCCCAATAAGACCAAGCTGCTGCAGGATGGACTGGAGCGAGCAGGCAGACGGGACCTGGCTGAGAGGCTGCGGTGCCTCCACTGGGGCCACCAGAAGCTGAGCCAGAGGGTGGAGCTGCCCTCCGCCTTCCCTTTCCTCATCACAGTGCACAAGACCATCCGCAACCAAGAGGCACTGCGCAGGATCAACGACCTCAACCGTAGATACACTTAAAGCTGAGTGAAAATGCAGCTATGGCTACACTTTTTTTTACTTTACAAAAATATTGTACTGTGCACTGCAAGTAGTCTGAAATTAATGTAATTATACTGATGTCACTGAACAAACAAATGAGAAGCATGAGATATGTAGTTATGCCACTTTTTGTCTTGCAAGAAATTCAAACGTTGCAATAAAGATGAAAACCTCATTTTTAGGACTCATTTTCAGTTGTGTTTATCTTATTAAAATGCCATGTTTGACATCAAAATGAAATAAAAAAAATCTAATTGCTTCTTTTGTCTGAGATACAGCACAAAATTATCATTAGTAGTAGTAGTAGTGTACAATGTGTTTATTTAACTGTAATAGTATTTGAAAGTAGGTCAAGTAAATTTTTGGTATTTCAGGGTTATTGAGCAGGAATGTTGGTCAGACATCACAAGGATGATTTATTCCATATGACATGTGTCCTTGTGTTTGGCTGTTTTGGCACACAGTGCTGTGTGATGTCTACCAGAGGGGAGAATCTGAAATGGTTTGGTTTTGGCTACAGAAATCTGGTAGCCTATTTATTTTATTTTTATGTATCCTTTATTTATCCAGGAGGGTCTCATCAAGATACAAGATGTTGTCAATCAGGAAATCCTAGTCAAGACGGCAGCATCAGCAGTTTCACATAAAAGTTTCACATACAAAACACAAAAGCAACACATGGGAAATAGTAGAAGAAGAGGCCGTACCAGGGATACCCATAACACATTCCACCTAAGTCAGGGATTATGTAGAACAGCAATATGTTTCCCTGTGGGCACTTTGTATAAGACCTTTAAAGGTAATGGTATTTTGCAGCTCATTTCATGCCCATGTTGTATAAAAAGAGAAAGAAACCAGGCTCTGAGTGCACCTTGATAGCCCATTCCAGGTGTGTTGCCAGGCCCGGCACCATGAGGGGTCATAGGGGGGCTGAGTCCCCTCAGCTGTATTTTCTGCCACCCCCATTTAAGCTTTATGTATCTATGGAAAAATAGCAAAACAACCAAACTACTGGCCAGGATACATTTGCATGTTGCTTAGCTGTAGGTGAGGTACCCTGTCCATCGTCCTGAAACAGAGCGGAGGAAATCAATTGACAGACAGACAGAACATGTTACTTAGTTCAGTTTCTTAGCCTGCTTGCTTTTCTTGGTTGTAAATAGAACTTTCATCCCCAATCCACAGACAGAGTAGAAACAATGGGGAAGTGAAAAGACAGTCAACAAGAGACAGAGAGAGAGCTGCAAGCTGCAAACAGTTGTTTCTTTGCACTTCCGCCTGCTGATTTTGGTAGAGAATTATTTCTCAAGTAGTTCAAAAACTATTTATCACTCCGTTGTACGTTCTTATGCGAATACTCTCATTAATAAATGTGTTTTGGGATTTAAAACAGTAGCCTTATAATGCTGTTATCTAGCCTTTCTGAGGATATTGCATGGCTTTGGTATGAAACGATTCTTTATTATGTACAAAATTGCCCTGTTGCAATTTTTCACTGCTCCCTCAGTCCATTTATCCTGGCTCCTGGTCTGTGTGGTGGTGGTATCGGACTTAAATATTAACAATTATTATGACTTGAACACATTTGCATTTAAAATTTGTAACACATTTTATGACCACAAAATGAAACATCAGAGATAAAATTACATTTTCATTTAACATCCAGTGTATAAGATTTAGCAGATTTAGTGGTGTCTAGCAGTAAGGATTGCAGATTGCAACCAGCTGAATCCCAGTTAGAAGTCCTACAGTGTTCATTTGATTTTTTATAAGGACACGAATTATCCAAAGAGGCCTCTTCCTCTCATGGCACTCAGGGTGTTCAAAGAGCATGACATCTGACACCACAGACATCTTTGATTTTGAGGATCTTGTTATCTGTGTTAAGAAAACAGAAAAAAATCTGAACAACAACAGATAACTTCTCCCAGTTAGAATTCTATCAGTGGTCATCGCTCAGTAGGTTTTTATTAGGAACTAAATTATCAGCAGATGTCTCTTTTTCTCAAAAAAAAACAAAAAAAAAACGGACCTGATTATTTAAATAGGTAAAAACACTGAAAAAAGCTGTTCACTTTTTCAAAGAAATCTATGTTTTCCCGACACTTGTCTCAAAGGGTCTACTAAATATGGTGGCGGTGATTCTAAGGTAACGAAAACACAATAATTCTTATTTTCAGATGATTATAAACAGAAAAGACATACTTATTATATTATACTCCATTTCTGCCAATATATCTCCCTGAATCCTCCACACTGGGCCTGTAAATAACAAGTTTAATTTGGGGCATTTATGGACTTCCATAAATCATTTCAATCCGTCCAGATCAACCAAACATAAATAGACCCAGTTACACGAACCAATCAGAGAGGCGAACCCGTATTTAGCAAGGTTCTATGAGCCAGAGGGGAAACCCGGTAAGATTGCTTTCAAAGTAAATTTATTTATTTTTTTTCTTTAATATTAAAAGACTAAATTAAGTAGTAGTTGGTGGTAAACGTGAATACTGGCGTAAAAGGCCTTCGATGACTTAATAAATTGGACATGGAGTGACACAAATAAAAATGCGTGAAACACTTTACCTTTATTTTGGCAACCATTTCCGGAAGTCGTAGTTCCAACCGCTGGTTGTTTGACACTGTTATTTTATGAGAGCTCTGGCTGTCTCCTACACTCAAAACAGACACCATTGACCGGAGAAAAATCAAAGAAAATTGACACTCCTGTCACGGCGGTTCTCGGACTTTCATTTATGGATTATCTCTGATTGAAACGCGACATCATGATTAGTAGGAGGCCGAGAACTGTTTGCTATCAGACACACGGGCGACCGTTGAGCTGGTAATGTATTTTTCACAGCATATGTTTGACTGTGTTATAAACGGATGTGTCACCCTCAGCGCACGGACTCTGTCGTGTTAATGAGTATGTCAGCCGCACCACAGCGGGTTATTTGACACCTACGCCGACGTAAAATAGCAATTTGCTGACTGGAGTTGCAGCAATGGCTTCGGCGCTGAGTAGCTTCAGTGGTCCCGAGGTGCTGGAGGACGTGAATCACTCTCGGAGTTTGATGGACGAGTTGAAATTACTGTACGACTGCCGGCTGCTGGGGGACGTTACTATCGGGGTTAAATGTGAAGAGGAGTCCCTAGAGCACTGCGGGGGGTCACCCAGGGGTGACATTGACCAACTTTTCCTGTGTAGCCGCAACGTCCTCGCTGCTGCGAGCCCTTACTTCAAAAGCATGTTCACTGGGGGATTAAATGAGAGCATGCAGCAGACAGTGGTCATCCGCGGGGTGGACTCTGAGTCCATGTCTGTCATTATAGACTACTGTTACACCGGCAGGGTGACCATCACGGAGAGCAACGTCCAGAGGCTGTACGCTGCAGCCAACATGCTTCAGCTTGAGTACATCAGGAAGGCTTGCTCCAGCTTCATGACAAGGAGGCTGGACCTCTCCAACTGTGTGGGGATACTGAAATTTGCAGACACCTATGACAACCCAGAGTTGAAGGAGAATGCACAAGCTTTCATAGCCAGGAACTTCAGCCAGGTGTGTAATGGTGGAGAGCTGTGTGAGCTGGATTTGATGCAGCTGAAGGAGATGTTGTCTCTGGACACTTTGGATGTGGACTGTGAGAGGAAGGTCTGCTCGGCTGCTTTGCAGTGGATAGAGGCGAATGCACCGCAGAAAAGGGAGGATGCACTACAGGCGCTGAAGTGTGTGCGGTGGAACTTGTTTACCGAGAAGGACAAGTGCTACCTGGAGGGCCTAATGGCGAGGCCTGTGATTGAGAAATACCTTGCATCTTTCTTTAACAGGTCTGCAGAGGACAGTTGTGGATTGCCTGCAACTCTAGATGTACCAAAACACAGAATAGGTGTAAGCGCAAAGGAAATGATTCTCTTCTTCGGCCTGCCTAACGACAATATAATGTGCTGCGACCCATACTCAGAGGACCTGTATTTCATGGCTCCTCCTTTAGAAGATCTCAGCAGTCAGGATTACAAACGTTCCACAATGGAGTCCTTAATTGCCTGTGCCACACCTGAGAACAACTTGTACCTAGCCTCCCATCTCTCTAAACACTTCTGGCTGTACAACCCTGTGCTCAACAAGTGGCAGGAGTTGGCAGAGAGGCAGCTGGGGAGGATACACTCTGGGATGGGCTACCTCAACGGCCATGTTTATCTTCTGGGAGGAAGAAATCCGGTGACGGATACCAGGCTGAAGGAGGTAGAGTGTTACAGCGTCCAGAGGAACCAGTGGACGTTTGTGGCTCCTCTGCCTCATTCTTTAGGTAAAATGCAGGTGGTGTCACTAAATGACCACCTGTACGTGGTGAACAAACGGAGAATGCTTTGCTACGATCCCAAGAGGAACCGCTGGCGCCACTGCGGGTCGCTGAGAAGAGACAAGCTTCACAAAGCATGTGTGTTTCAGGATCAGATCATCTGTGTGTGTGACATCCCCGTGGTGAAAGCCTACAGCCCCACCAGAGGGGAATGGAAGAGGCTGGGTGACATTCCCATTGACAGCCGTGCTTTAAATTACCAGGTGATCCAGCACAACAACAAGCTGCTCCTCCTCACTCAGACTTTACTGCAGCACAACAAAAACAGGGTCCTTATCCATGAATACGACCAAACCAGGGACACGTGGAAGAACATCATGGCGGTGTATGTGTCCACCCTGGGGCCCGTGTGTGTTTCAACACGTGTGTACCCCGCATGCCTGGGCTCTGCTCACAGCTTCTCCACAGAGGAGGACGATGACAGCGGCTCTAGTGCTGACTGGGACTTTGATGGATTGACAGACGCAGACTCCGACTCTGGCAGCTCCAGCTCGTTCTCAGATGAGAACTGGTAGTGATTACTGTGTCAAAGAAAAGCTTAACTTATTTATAATGTGATGGATTTTTACAGGGTTCTGTCTGCCAGGAGAGGCTATAGATCCAGATCCAGTTCAGTATTAAAGCCAGACACTTACAGTAGAAGCACAAGTCCATCGAAATCCTTACTTCACTCTGACGGTTTTCTTTCTCTGCACCAGTCTGGCTTATGAATATTTACTGAAGTGGAGAAGAAGCTAAGCAGAGTTGGTTTCTGAAATACCCAGACACAAGGGCTTTGTTGTTCAATTTGTATCATGTGCTGCCAGCATGAAGGACAGTGTGCTGTCTTGTAGTCTTGTTTACACAATAACTCAAGACAGATACATAACTTCAGCAATAAATTCCTCCATAAAGTCGTAACTTACAAATCAGTGAGGGCAGCTGATTGAAGGGTACTTCAGTCCAGACGAGTAGTATTACACTTCCATAAAATTGGAGGAACTGGTGAGAGACCGATAAACAAGGAAATAAAAATAGAAGCAGTAGAGGCTGTTATATCCTGACTTTTGGTCTTTAAAGGTCCAGTGTGCAGGATTTAGGGGCATCTAATCTATTAGCAGAAATGGTATATCCTCCTGAGACCCTGTGTCCTCTAAGGCTGCCACTAACGATTATTTTCATTGTCGACTAATCTGTCGATTATTTCATCAAAAAATGTGTTAAAATGTTGAAAAATGTCGTTCTGTCTCTCCCAAACCCCAAAATTACGTCATCTAATGTCTTGTTTCATACTCACGCCAAAGGGTTTAGTTCACTGTTATGGGAGAGTGTGTAAAGCTGCCAATATCTGAACGTAAGAAGCTGCAGTAACAGTATTTTGGGGTACTTTTATAGTGCTTTTCTATAAAAAATGACTCAAACCGATTAGTCGACTACTAAAATAGTCACTGATTATTTTAATAGTCAATTAGTCATCGATTAGTCGACTAATCGTGGCAGCCCTAGTGTCCTCATATGAGGACATCACCTTTTGATTTTGGGTTTCCTGCACATTATACTTCATTCTGCTTAACATAGACCTGTTGTCCTTGGTTGAAACTTGTTTATTTGTGCTAAATAATGTCCGTAGTTTAATATGGCAAACAAATTTGACCAATTTTAACAACAGTAACAAGCATTCAGGCATTGAAATGAACAATTTTGAACAGTTTTAGACTTAACTAATGACCCCTAACCCGCAGCGTTATAACATATTAAACAATTGTTGCATTGTTTGTAATTTTGTTTTTGCACAACAATGTCCAGGCATTGAAATAACAGTTTAATAATTTATCTCACACTTGTGATTATTAAAAATAAACCCATTGTCTCCATGTGAAGACATTTTTTTTCCCCAAAAACTACTTCCTGTTCAAAGACAGGGCTTCATTTTTTATATATTGATCAGGGCCTACTTTCCGAAGTAGCATGGAGAAATTAAAAAATGCATACCAAAAAGACCTCCTGAGACCCCAAAAGCTGGGGTCTCAGGAGGATGTAATCTTAGGTATGTTTTCTTTCGTTTATGATCACCTGAAAATAACGATCATGGTGTTTTTGTTATCTTAGAATGAGCCATTTATACCTACATAAGGAGCAGGCCCTCTCAGATGGAGTCTACCATGTTGTTCTACAGTAGCCCAATACTGACAAACCAAACACAGACTCTAGATAGGGCCATTCATATTTTTGCACCTGCAACCGTAGTTCTCCGACATGCTTGGCACATGGGAGAAGTTTCAGTTATGTAACCTTACTGCAGGATGCCACTAAATCCTACGCACTAGACCTTCAAGGTCATCCTACACTTCACATAATACAGTGTTTTCCAAACTGAGCCTGCAGGTAGATGCACAAGTTCAGAGGGAAAATTTCAAATGAAACTAAAGCTTATTATAGCAGAGACATTTTAACTTGTCAAACACAGGTTACTAAGATAATTAATCGCTGAACATCATTAATTTCATTACTTCCACCTCTGCTCTTCCTGCTATGACGGAGTACTCTAATGCTGCCAGGGTGAAAATTGCAAAGCTTGTTAAGCTCATCAAGGTAACACATCTGTCAAATCTGAAATACAAAGATGCCTATCATGCTCTTGTGTTCACTGTCACTATAGCAGCAGATTCTTTTGTGTTTAACACTTTTGTTAGATACATATTTTCAGTTTCTTAAGGGGGGCGTGACAGACAAATTCCTGGAGACACAGGCCATAATGCAAAATGCAGATTTCTTTATACTTGACGGTGCTCCTCCAGAGCTACAAAAGAGTTATAGGTAACTGTTTGCACAGGAAGAACAACATTTCCCATGACTGGTAAAATGACTTTGACGTAAAAATCAGAGGCCCTTTGAAGGAATACTTCACCCATAAAATGACCATATGAAAATCAGATAGTCATGCCATGTTCCTTTTACTGGCTTGGCGCCACAAAAAATGCTGAGCGTATTGATTTATTGATTGATTTTGGACCACATTTAGCAGCAAACCTGTATCAAAACATCTGTTCACAAACTCCCACACAACTCATGCAGTATAATCTTAGTCTTATTTATCCAGTCACATGCTCAGTACTTCTCATACACATGCATTTTCACAAAAAATAGTCTTAGTATTGGAATCTGGCTTTGAAGAGAGCATAGATAAGTTTAATTTTCAGTTCAAAATAGCAAAAATGCATGTGTTTTGGAAGTACTGTGCATACGACTGGATAAAAGAGACTTGGATTATACTGCACGAGTTGTGTTGGAGTTTAGAAATTATTATTTTGACATAGTTTTTTGCCATTTTCCGTGGAGGCAAGCAAGAAAAAGAAAGAGGTTTTCTTCACGAATTTAAGTAAACACAGCATGACTAATTGATACACCAATGGTCATTTTGTATGTGAAGTATTCCTTATATGTTTTGGGCTGGTGTTGTGTTATATAAAGACACATTTTTGACAGAAATATTAATTTTATTGTGCTTGAATAAATGAGTACACCTGCTTATGACTGGCGTGAAATCATGACTGTGAGTTACGGGACATCAGGCAGCTCAAGTGCCTCATGTTTATGACTTTAAACACAACTGGTCATTTACAGGGCTTTAAAATTTGCTGTCCCTTTCTCTGATGTTGTTGATTCAAGACGTCTCTCACACACACACACACACACACATACACAGCCGGTGTTTTAAAAACTGCTGTATGAAACGTAGAAGCCAACACGCTCACTCAGGTTTAGGCTTCAGTAAAAAGCCTGTTTGCCATGATTGACGTTGTTATTTTTTTAGATGTAGTGAAATTAGGTGGTTTTGGTGACAAATGCTAAATTTTATGAAATTTATTTGAAGCTATTTTATTGGATGTATGTATGTGTTTTCTTATCTGTGATTTTTAATTTAATCTTTATGTTGCATTCAGGAACCAGAATGTTTCAAGAAGTGTTTTGAGTATTGTTTGGTCCTGATGAACTGCTGGAGGATATTTTGTCTGCATGTAATAAAGCTGTTGCGAAGCCATCGTCCTCCCCGACCACCCCACACACTCATTTACCAGTTTATTAGCTGCGTTGAAGCACGATGGAGTGTTTCTAATGTGTCTATGCTCATTAATATTAGTGTTGTAGGCAAAATATTGAAATCACCCTTTACATATAATGCAATACCACAAACTACAGTCTCCAGAATTAAAAATGAAATTGAGTCAACACATCTAATAAACAGTTTAGATAAACACTGAACATTATAAAATTCATGGTATTTATTACAGGGCTGTTACATTAAGCTGTATTAGTTTCTGCTAAGTGTACCTAATAAACTGGTAAATGAGTGTAGCTCTAAATGCTGTCCCTCTGTATGATAGATAATTGAAGTGTGTGTGTGTGTGTGTGTGTGTGTGTGTGTGTGTGTGTGTGTGTGTGTGTGTGAAGGGGCGATTGGCTGTGGTCTGGATTATAAATCTGTTTTGGTGTATGTGTCAAATAAACAAAGGCGTCTGATGCAAAAAAATATTTGTGTGGGCATTTTTCTCCCCCCAAAATATTTATTTAACAAGTTAGTACACATAACACATTAGGTACACATTACAAGATTCAGAAGTATTGTAGTATGAAACATCTATATTGTTAATACATGTTGAAACTGAAGGTTACAGTGATAAAATTGAGTGGATCTGAGGATATTAAAAACAAAATTCAATTTCTACTGTCTATTTCATGATTTACAACAAAAATAGTTTTGAAAGTTCCATATTCAGATTTGAATCAAACATAGAGATTGAGTACGTAAGTAAGTACGTAACTTGTCAGAATAAACCCATGAAATGTCATGTCGAAATCAAACTTCATTAATTGGTCAATTAATGAATTCATAACCAATAAAATGTCAATAAATGACTGCATATAACATGTTAATAAAATAAAAATAAGTATTGAAATGAAATTAAATGAATAAGATTAAAAAACAAACAAATCAGAAAGCCAGAAAAAGAAGGCAATCATTTGTTTCCTTAATTACATTTAAGAGCCTGTTTTTTTTTTAAACTATACTTTTAATTGTTTCCTTGAGAACAAAGAAAAAAATGGCACATGGTACATATAATAACGATTCACAAGGCTGTATAAGTATATTGAAGAACACATTACTCAAATATAACAACACAAAATGAGTATAATATAATAATAATGAAAAAGTGAGGTACAAGGTACAGTTCTCTGCATCTCTGTGATCCCGCCTGTTGAAAATGAATTTACGAAATTAAATTAAGCTTTCTTATTCTTTGGAACACAAATCATATGTTTTTAATTGAAGAATATCCCCAATAAAACAGAAATATTACCAACAAATGCTTCAAGTTTGGCTTTAACTGTAAATAACGTTTATGTCTATTGGTCCCTCTCAAATCTCGCGATGTTTCGGCGCCGTCCACATCCAGACCGCGAGAAGATGAGCGATGGCAATAGAAAACAAACCTGGAGACGATTTTGACACCGTTTTCGGTCAAAATGACTCCTTAGAGCTCTCCTCCCAGCACGACTATGAGACTGCGCAGGCTCGGATATTCAAGATAATAGTCATAGGAGACTCTAACGTGGGGAAGACGTGTTTGACTTACAGGTTTTGTGGGGGCACTTTCCTGAAAAACCCCGAGGCAACGATCGGGGTCGATTTCAGAGAGAGGACGCTGGAGCTCGATGGGGAGAGTATCAAGGTGAGAGGAGGAAATAGAAACACACACCTGCACTGTAATATCACGCAAACACACATGGTTGAATTTCCTATAGGATTAACACAGCCGTCTGCCTGAGCTAAGGTTTATAGGTGGACACAGGCTGACCTGGAGTCAGCTTGCAGACATTAAAAGGATAGCACCACTACAAAATGTAGGCCTGCCTCTTTATAGTGACCAGCTGCTGACACAATAAAACACATGATCACTTTATAGCACACAGTATAAAGCAAAGGTGGAGCAAGTCTACATCTCTGTTGACTTTTTACAATACTTTAAATTATTCATATAATATATATGTTATATATAATATACTAATTTTGATTTCAAAGGTGGACACAGTTACAGGGTGTCTACAGGTCCTTAAAAGGTCCTAAAATGTCTTAAATTCAACAATAAGGCCTTAAAAGTCATTAAGTAGTCTTAAATTTGAATTTGCAAGGTCTTTACTACCACAGACATTTGATTTAATTTCATTTATCCACATTTCAAATGTTACAGATCTTTAAAAAAACATTCTAATACTGTAATTTTACTTAATACTAGATTGACTTAACCCACGCTAATAACCATATTCCTACCTAACACTTAACCTCTACACAAGAGCACATATATACTACTTACCTGCAATGCTTACCTGTGATGCTTATGTACATTCAACATTCATTTCATTTAACTTCTAACTGCTTCATCCTGTTGAGGGTCACGGGGGGGCTGGAGCCTATCCCAGCTGACATAGGGCGAGAGGCAGGGTACACCCTGGACAGGTCGCCAGACAATTGCAGGGCTGACACATAGAGACAAACAACTATTCACATTCACATTCACACCTACGGACAATTTAGAGATATCAATTAACCTAGTCCCCAATCTGCATGTCTTTGGACTGTGGGAGGAAGCCGGAGTGCCCGGAGAGAACCCACGCTGACACGGGGAGAACATGCAAACTCCTCACTTAACACCCGGGATCGAACCGGCAACCCTCTTGCTGTTAGGCGACAGTGCTAACCACCACACCACCGTGCTGCCCCACATTCAACATAATTTGTCCAATTATCTGTCCCTAAATTTGGTTAAAAGGTGTCTTGAACAGGTCTAAGAAAACATTAAATTTAACTGTCTGATACCTGTAGACACCCTGAGTTAGGACAGGCACAAACGTCAAAAGGGCTTTAGTTTTTCAGATACCCCAACCTGAGGTCAGGGGTGGATTATAGTACAGTGGGCCCCTTGGCACAGACATGCAGAAGGCCCCACCACCTCTCAGACTATATAGTTGTTTAGCATTTTTTCTTGTGTTTTTTGCGTCTCTTTGTAGTGGTTACACATCTTTCGTGTTTCTTTGCGGCCATTGTGTGTCTCTTTGTAGTTGTTTTATATTACTGTTTTTGTAGTTATTATTGTCTGTGGTTGTTTTGCCCCTTTTTGCAGTCATTTTGTGTCTGTTTGTAGTCATTTTATGTCTCTTTGCAGATGTTTTGCATGTCTTTGCAGTCATATTATGTTTCTTTGTGGTTCTTTGAGTCTCTTGCTGCTCGGTACATGTCTCTTTGAGTGACATTTTGTAAGTAGAGGCCACTCTGGGCACCTGTGCCCTTAAGGCCAGTTTAGTAATCCATCCATGCCCCCACACAAGTAAGAGACTAAAACCAGCTCAAATGAAACAGTTGCATTTTACAGTTACCTGGATTTTTAATAAGGTTGAGCTACTGCAACACCAGAATTTCCCTGCTGGGGATCAATAGGATGTACTTTATCTTACATATGATTTAACCCTTAATGTTAATCTTAATCTTAATGCTAGTTAAATAAGCCTTTTCCCACAGCATTTTTATAATGATGTACAGCACAAGTGTAGCATTTTGAAATAGTAATTAAGCTGGTGTTAAGTTGTAGACCTTAAAGGATACAGCTGGTGTGTAATGTCCGCTCTGTGTCTGCAGAATATTTACTCTTTTTAGGAGTCAGCAGCCAGAGTTTAGGGCGACTTGCTAGGCCTCTCTCAATGGGCCATTTCCACTGCACACATTTTGTCATGTCATAGCAGGAAAAGCACATGTGTTAATGATAACATTAACTAATGACTCTGTCTATTTGTGTCCAGGTAAGCCATGATAGTGTGACAGTGAGCCAGCATGCAGAATACCAGGACCCTGAAACTGAAGCAGCTAAATGGACTCCAGCCATCATTAATTAAATTATTTACACCATGCTTTTCCTACTGCAACACGCTGCCATTTTGTGACAGGGTGATATCATATATTTTTCTTATTGTCAACAAATCAGATCAACTGGTCCCAGTAATGAGTGGTGTCTGTCTATAGCCTTCTCCTCTGTGCCACACACCTACATTACTGTCACATTTTTGCGCTGGGTGACCTGTTCCTTCACTGCTACACACCGTAGTTTATTTTGAGTCAATTCCACATACATAGCACTCAGTAATGTACCGAAATTGTATTAATCTGCTGACAATCGTCCTCTCAACTGCACCATTTCCTTTGGTTTTAGTGATGTTTGATTAAAACTACAGTTCCCTGCTGTTTTAGGAAATTACTAAGCCTTTGATTATGAAATATATATATGTGATATCTTTAGTAGCGTGCCACAGATGTTATTTCTTACTGTCAGGTGGATTAATACTGTGTTTGCTTTAGTCTTTTCTTGGGTTGACAATTAGAAACACATAGAATTACATTAGCCTTATTCTTTAGGTTACTGGTTCCCAACCTGGGGTCCTGACTTCCACTAGGGCAGTAGTTCCCAACTGGTGGGTCCTGGTCCAAAAGTGGGTCACGGGTCCATTCTGACTGGACTGCAAGCATGTCAAGTTTGTTAAAAACACACTTTATTTTTAAGTACAGTGAATTTCCTGCACAGAGCTTTTATGTTGAAGTGCAGTTTCTTGCTGTACTTGACAGAGACAGTGAAGTAGGTCCCTGACATGGCCAAACGCAAGTATGACACTGAATATATTAAAGTGTGTGGACGATGAAATAATGACTAATGAGAAATCTGGACCCTGTTAAAAATCAGGAAATTCATGTCTGCTGGAATATTAACAGAAATAATCCGCTTCAAATTTATTCAGATCCCTCTTTTTACAAACGTCATGCAGGTATTGTGTTCAGAATTTGGGTTAACTGTACAGTTTTTCTGTGCTATTGTTGTTATGCATTGAGTATAATATGAACTATGTGACTTTATTCAATGATAAAAAAGGGGTCCCTTTAGATAGTCTCATTAGTATCTGTCTCTGCTGTGCCAGTTGCAGATCTGGGACACGGCCGGTCAGGAGCGTTTCAGGAAGAGCATGGTGGAGCACTACTACCGCAGCGTCCATGCCGTCATCTTTGTCTATGACGTGACCAGCCTCTCCTCCTTCGAGAGCATCCCCGAGTGGATCGAGGAGTGCAGCCGACACTGCGTGGGGCCCCTGGTGCCCCGCATCATGGTGGGCAACAAGTGCGACCTGAGGGACCGCCGGGTCGTCCCCACCTCAGCCGCACAGTGTCTCGCAGACAGCTACAACTTTCCTCTGTTTGAGACGTCAGCCAAGGAACCTTCTGAGAAGGAACACGTTGATGCCATCTTTCTGACTTTGGCTTATAGACTGAAGAGCCACAAACCCCTGAGACTGAAGCAGCCGAGTGAGAGCAACCTCAGGCAGCTGTGGAGTCAGAGAGAGCAGGAAACAGGAATGTGTCAATGCTGAGGTTGCCTCCATCCTGTGTGGAGGTGTGTAGATCATCACAGCTTTCAGTGTTTCGTCCTGACGCTGAGACTGAAATCAGAAAGACATCTTATGATCATGAGATAGAAAAGGTTTTACATTTTCCCTGCCTGCTGCAAGGTATAGCTTGTGACAGTATGGGCCTGTAAGTTTGCACAATATTAAGTCAACATTTCAGTGAAATGCATGAATGAATACGGAGGTATGCCAAAACATTTGTAGCTCAAACTGCACATTGAATCACTTTGAGTCAAATAAAGAAAAGAGCATTGCAGAGTGCACTTTAAAACATAGACAAATTATATGCAATCAGCCGTCTAGTAGCACTACAACATATCTGCAGCATACGACGCAGGCATTGAATTAAGAAACCGATTTCAGTGTAAGTAAAGGGACCAATAAGGTAAATTGAAACTGTGAAAAAAAGTGCAATCATTTTGCTTTAAGTTATATTTTAACGTGATATTTCAGTTTTTAAAAAATGTAAATGCAGCCTGAGTTGTGGTGCTGTTGCTGAACGTGTATTTCTCAAATATAAGTATGAACATAACCAGCTTTGTGTCAGCTCATTCGCCTACACACTTCTCTCAATGAAAAAATGTCTTTTGGGAGAAAATGAGTGAACACATGCTCAGCTGCGTTTGAAAATTGTGATGCCGGAAGGTACTGATGACACGAAATAAAATCACAAGTGACTGACGCTTCTTTTGCATGTGTACAATAATGCAAACACTTTCCAGCAGTATGGGGATTTGTGAGAATGTTAAGCTGCAATTCAATAAAAGTGGTTTCATCAGTGTGATTTAAAATGTTTGAGGTTTCTGGTGTGTTTGTTTGGTGTGATGCAGCCGCCATCTTATGCTGTTCAACTAATAATGTACTCGGATACGTGCACATAATGACTGACGCTTTATTTCATTGTATTTCATTGCTTACTGTAAAACACGTCATCCTTCATCCATACATTCAGCTAACATGGAAGAAGTACTTCAAGTGTCCAGAAAACTTGGAAATTCGAACACCTTAAATTCCATTATAACCAGGCTCACTCAATCTGCTGATGAAGATCATGTCATATGATTGAAAGCTCCAGAACAGCTTGTAAAGGGACTTTGTAATGAGTTTGTTTCCTTCACCCTAGTTTGCAATATTTAACTGGACTTCAGCGATGACTAGTGGGCATCCTTTGCATAGCTATAGCCCTGATGATGTGTTCAAGGAATCCTGTAAACTAGCAAATGGTCTAGTTCAAAGTATATTTCTCCAACTTTTATAGTTTTTCTTAATTGCTAAGACACTTATGAAACTGGGATCCATTTGATCATCATTATCATCATCACCTTCTTAGCACAGCAGACACTTTCCACTGTTTCACACATATTTCACACCCTTTTTCAAAACAGTTAACACATCTCATTAAAACCCAAGCCTGTAGAGGATTAACAGTGTAAAACAAAATATTCACAGCTGATAGAAAATACTTGCATAATTATGAGTCTCTAATGCACCTGTGTGAAACCTCTTTGCACAACTCTCCAATCAGCAATTAGCCTGTATCCATTTATGAAAAATGCCACCTCTGTGTTGCTGTTTGCGAGCATGGATCAAAAAGGCCAAAGGCACATAAAAATTAACACTGTAACTCTCTGGAAGTCTGCAGAAAGTCCACGTTAGGCCCCTTGTGGACTGGATGAATTGTGGATTTGGACAGCCCTAAGCACTCCCACTCTTCCTGGGAACATGCCCACAAAGTCAGAGAGTCTGCAAGTGCGGGGAAGTCTGGACATTTAGATTCAGTCATAGCTTCCCTCAGAAAAAAAAACAGAACCAAATCTGAGCTTAAAATAGTGACATTTTGGGGTGCCCAGAAGCTCAACTGGTAGGGTGGGCATCCCATGTCCTTGTTGCCATGGCTGTGGGCTCAGTTCTGACCTGTGACCTCCTGCTGCATGCCTCTTCCCTCCTCACACTCAACCCGCCCTAACTAATAAAGGCACAAAAAGCCATAAAAATAACCTTAAAAATAGTGATATTTTATGTAAATCACTTTATTCTCTGTCTCATTTATATCCTCAAAAAAATCAGCTGTTTGCTGTAGCTAAGGCTTTTTTCAACTCCAAGATTTCATCCTGCCTTAAAACTTACCCATAAGTTTTAAAACATCTAATAACTATTTTATGGTGGAGGGATGGTCATGCTTTTTCCCTCCGTCATTCAGGGAGGCTGAAGGAAAAATATTTGTAGCTTCAGAGAGGCTCAAAATAGCTGAAGTTACACCCCAGGAAACCCACTCTTTTATAAGTAAAGAACAGTCCTTGGTGCCAGCTCTCAAACAGCTCTGTTTGGTGTTTTTGACCTTGATAGATCATCTCCTCGCAGGGTTGTTATATTTCCCACCATGCGGTATGTCCGTGAATGCAGCCCAGTAACCGAGCCGCCTGTATTCTTCACACGGCGTCTCTTCGCGGCCATGGTAACACTTTGCCCAACGCTGCACCTCTGATTCAACAATTAACAGCACAAACAAGCTGTTTTCATGCAGGTATGAGACTTATTTCCATGTCAGATATGTAGCTAAAGAGTCTAATGTAGGCTGCCTTTGCCTACATGTATATTTAACGGTTAACTCAGGCTGGGAGGATTAAGGGGTGTTTATTTAACGTTACTGCAACACGACTCGTTTTGTTTGCTAACTGTGGCCTAGCATAAAGCTAACAGAGGCTAACGTCGCTGTAAAGACAGGGTGTGTACAAGAAATAAGCTAATTTAAACACTGGGTTGACACAAACGCTAGGTGAAATCACGGCGATTTAAAATGTTTATTTATTGTAACAGTTTTAAGACACTAGCTAGCTTAACTGACCTGCTTTAATTACGTGCTGTAACGTTATGCTAGCTGTTATATGTGATAGCAGCTGTCATTAAAGCTGCACCATCCTGTCATAAGTAGGATTATATGTAATAAAGACAGCAGGCTCTTTGATGGAAATGTTTGTGTGGACTTTATTTAAAACCAGCCAACATTAGCCAACTTATTGTGCTCAGTATTCAGTCACATTACTCAGCTGTGTTGTGTGTTTTCTCCCTCACCTTATAGCTATTATTCAGCATGAATTTGGCAGAGATATGTGACAACGCCAAGAAGGGCCGTGAGTATGCTCTGCTGGGCAACTATGACTCCTCCATTGTTTATTACCAGGGAGTCATTCAACAGATCCACAAGCACTGTCAGTCCCTCAGAGACCCTGCTCTCAAAGTCAAATGGCAACAGGTGAGTTCACCAAAAAGCCCTGAGCGTACCATTCTTACACCAGTTATTAAACCAGCATTAATGACATCATTAAAGCCCCTTGAGGCAAATTTGTGGTTTGTGATTTTAGGCTATGTAAATAAAGCTGACTTGAATTACAGGGCAGCGTGTGACTGTGGTTCAGCACTGCAAATATTTTAGAACAGTTTAGGATGATACACTTTTCTTTGATGCCAACACTGATTTTATTTGAAGAAAAAAAACAAGGATTGTTCTACTTTTGAAAACCTACTGGGTAAATGCCATAATGTCACTGGTGTAACTAGGGTTGCAACAGTATACCAGTTTTAAGGTATATCGTAATATGAAAGTTGACAGCTAACATACAGTGTGCATTTGCTTATCTCATTCATTCATTTTCTGTAACGGCTTATCCTGTCGAGGGTAGCAGGGGGGCTGGAGCCTATTCCAGCTGACATGGGCCAGAGGCAGGGTACACCCTGGACAGGTCACCAGACTATCACAGGGCTGACACATAGAGACAGACAACCATTCACACTCACATTCACACCTACGGACAATTTAGAGTCACCACTTAACCTGCATGTCTTTGGACTGTGGGAGGAAGCTGGTACGGGGAGGACATGCAAACTCTGCACAGAAGGGCTCCCCCACCCTGGGTTTGAACCAGTAACCCTCTTGCTGTGAGGTGACAATGTTAACGACTGTACGACTGTGCCAGCCCCATTTTTTTTAATATCATTTGCTAATGTAATGAATGAATGAATTTGCTAATTTATGATATTGGAAAAAATGCTCCTGGACAGAGAATTTCAGCTTTATTTTAGTTATTTTCAGTGGGGAGACTTTTTACACAAACTTCCATCCAAAAAAATGGTTTCAAGTAGGGTTGCAGTGGTCAGTCTCAACTTTATTTTACGTTTAACACATACTTCAATTTTTAAAAAAATGGTTTTGATTTTTATATACTAATAAAACATTTGTTCAGCTAAAAATAATCACTCTGTTCTCATACGTTTAAGGGTTATTTTAACTTGAAATAATAACAATAATAATTCTGTCATACTCAGAAACTGTGATATCTGTTATCATACCATGAAAATCTCACACCGTTTCAACCCTAGATGTAACATAGAAATTTATTTTACCAAAGCTCAGGTCAGCTTACTGGATTCCAAATGGCCTTTACTCAATGGGTTTAATTAACCCCCATGTATTCGGCAGCACCAACAGGAAAAAGATGTCTTTTTATTTTGGAGCAAAATCTAATTTGGTCTATCACTAGCGACAGTTTGGTCGTGGTTGGTTTGGGAATTATTTATTTATTAATTTATTGCCACATGAAACTGCCTTATCCAGTGTTTTTACTGGTTTAAATCACCTGGTCTGTTTGTTTTAGAGAGAAAGAGACCTCTGGATAATTTGGCTCTCGACAAAAACCTCCTGAACAATAAACACTGAAGGAATTCTAACCAGGAGAATTTTCAGCTGGTTGCCACTAGATGCAGCTAAATCCTCCTGAATCTTACACACAGTTTCTTTAATTCACTGCAGGACATTAAAGCTTTGCTCTTAACCCTGCTTTGTTTTACAAACCTCTTTACATCCATGTCAGCTGCTGTGTTTTTCAGTCAGATGTTGTGTGATACAACTCTGATCCGACACCGTCCTTCCCCTGTTTGCAACCAGGTCAGGCAAGAACTGACTGAGGAGTATGAGCAGGTGAAAGGCATCATGGCAACGCTGGAGAGCTTCAAGTCAGAGAAGCCAGTTGACATCCTTGCCCCTCAGTCTGAGGAGAAGTTTGAGGATCCAGCAGTGTGGCCCCCTCCCACCCCTGCAGAACACAGGTGGGTGTGGTAATTCACGTTTTTGAACCTCTTGTTTTTTACTCATCAACATTTTATTGTCACATACATGTGGTCGAGGATATTTTAATTCAGTCTCCAAGAAGCACATGAACATCCATTAGTTTCGTATAATAAGAGCGCTGAAAGCTGTTTACAGTTCTTATTTCATTCTATGAGGAGTAAAACAACAAGTGAACAAGACTGCAGTATGTGGGTATTTTGGTTTCTTTATTTCAGCCACCTGCTCAGGCGCTGATCCAGGGAACTTCTTTACTTTCTGGCACAACTGATTGTTACTGATACCACCCAGAACGTCTGTAGAACAAAATGCCGCTATAAGGAAACACTTTGAAGTACAAAGAGACATATTTTGCATAATCTGTTTCATCTCTATCAGCGCACACTGACTCACCATCTGGTCATTAAAGTGGACATATTGAGCTTTACCTGCTCAGAGAACTCGCAGAGCTGGTTTAAAGTTGATGTCACTCTGTGGAAACGTTGGCACACTTCATTGTTACCGCAGTTATCTCATTGCAAAATATTGTTGATGTCTCTATCTGCAGGTGTGGACTCCTTTAACTCATGTGTATTGTTCCTGTGTGTGTGTCTCTGTAGGAATCCTGTTGCAGTGAAGCGCCCCAACAGTGCAGTGAAGCAGCAGAGGAAAGACTCCCCTGGGCTGCAGCATCGAGGAGCAGGGCCAGGAGGCCGCGGCCAGGCCAACCCGAAACCAGACAGGCCGGGTTTCAGAGACGCCCGAGGCACAAAAGCCAAAGACGATAAGGTCAGACTACAGGAGTGGATTTGTGGTTGAGTGGGCAGATAGATGGATGAGTGACGTCCTTAAGAAATGAGTCAATCTGTCAAATACCTGTCCTTCATCAGGGGAAGAAAGGGGTCGGAGATGCACCAGGGGATGTAGAGCAGAAGAAGTTTGATAGCACTGGACATGACAGCGACCTGGTGGACTCACTGGAGAGAGACATTGTGTCCCGTAACCCTAACGTACACTGGTAGGGTCCCTCACACAGATTCTTATACGTTATGCTGTTGGGACAGTTTTATTTGTGCTCTGCTGACTGTGTTTTCTGGATGAACTGCAGGGACGACATTGCTGATCTGGAAGATGCCAAGAAGCTGCTGAGAGAAGCTGTGGTGTTGCCTATGTGGATGCCCGACTTCTTTAAGGGCATTCGTCGCCCCTGGAAGGTACACACACACACACACACAAATTTGATTGCGTACGTATTCTGAGCTGTAAGGGCTGCCCCTGACCAGAAAACCTAAATACAACCCCAAATTACTGAGATGCCGATTCTTATGGGACTAATATTAACTCATGACCTCTGTGTTTGGCGAAATATGGAAGTTAATTTGTGATGGAATTAATGTGCACCCTGTCTATATAAAGTTATAGTACAACACTACACTCAAACTAAGCTGAAGTGGAACCTGATTCTACAGGAACACAACTTTAATGTGAATGCTTACATATGTTTGCATCACTAACATCTCTCATTAAAGGGCCCACTCAGTCATGCTGCCTCTCAGTATCTAAAAGACTCACTGAGTTTCCTTCTGTACCAGCCTCTGTTGAGCTTCATCATGTGAGGCCTCTTCCCCCTCAGGCCCACCATGTGAGAGTCAAAACTGCATTTGTAATTACAGCAGCACAGTGCCTCCATTTTGTCCGGTATATGCATGCATAATTCAGCTCTTTATTTAGTAAGTAAGTTAGAGCCCTTTTTCAGATGAAATGCAGTAAAATGAAAGATTAATAAAGTTGTTTCAAATAAAGATTAAGTTCATGATCATTTTATTGTCACACAGTAAAGAGGTCTTTGCAGTTCAGTTTTGTTTATCCTCTCCTGTTACTGCACACTTTAGCAGAGTGGGCCGTCCCACTCCCCTGTGTGTTATGTTACATCAACACGTGATAATAATCAGCTAATGACCACATCAAACCTACACACAGGTATCAAAGCCAAATATCACTATGAAACAATACGGCCAACTAAAGTAGGGCACTGTATGCTCTGCAGAGTGATGTGCAGTATTCTGTAGTTTACTGGCACAAATAGGACACAGGTTAGTCAAACAGCAAAACAGTCTATAAACACACAAATGTGTGAGCATTAAATCTTTTCTTTTGGACGTATCTGTATGTTGACTCCAGAACAGAGGAATGAATGATGGAGATTCAGCGCACCACTGAGTGGAACTAAGAAAATTTGGGGGTTTTTTTCTGCCCTTTGAGTAACAGTGAATGAAGACTATGATATTTCGCCACCAGGCTTCAAAATTGATGGCGAGAATAGAATTTGTGAAAGCATCTTTTTTTAAGTGAATTAGTGATGAATCACCCTCATTCATGAACCATATATCAATAAGGCCCCGTGTTCGCCAGGAGCTCCTCAGGAAACGCCCCACTGGGAGCACTTGAGAGCACTTTGGAGGAGCAGCTGCTTTTCAGCTAAGACGCTTTGGTTGCGTCTGGTTGCTATGATATGGAATATCCACACAAGGTAAAATGGCAGAGCAAGGTAGAGTACTCGCTCAGGATGAAGGGAAGTCTGAAGCACGTAGGGAGAGAGGACGGACCCGCCTGTCAGTATGAGTTCATGAGAGGAAACGTGTTAATAGATATACAGTATTTTAACGCCCTGCATTGTTGTTGTTGTTCAGCACTCGTACATAACGTATAAGATGTGATGGCTGGTCTTCGTGCTGTTCGTCCCTCCTCCACTGGGGTTCGACTGCTGGGTAAAAAGTGACAGTGAAGAGCAGAGTGTTTTACCCAATTTTAACATTTTCCAACTCTCTGTGCTCAGAAAAAAAGGCCAAACATGCAGCACTTGGGGCGGCACGGTGGTGTGGTGGTTAGCACTGTCGCCTCACAGCAAGAGGGTTGCCGGTTCGATCCCGGGTGCGGGAGCCCTTCTGTGCGGAGTTTGCATGTTCTCCCCGTGTCAGCGTGGGTTCTCTCCGGGCACTCCGGCTTCCTCCTACAGTTGGGGATTAGGTTAATTGATAACTCTAAATTGTCCTTAGCTGTGAATGTGAGCGTGAGTGGTTGTCTGTCTCTATGTGTGTCAGCCCTGGCGACTTGTCCAGGGTGTACCCTGCCTCTCGCCCGATGTTAGCTGGGATAGGCTCCAGCCCCCCCGCGACCCTCATGAGGATGAAGCGGTTAGAAGATGAATTGAATGAATGAATGCAGCACTTGGCACAGAATAGATTCTCAGCACCTTATCACACTGTTGGCATTTGTTGCATAGCATAGGTACATTCCACTCCCATTGTGAAGGAAGGAAAAAAAACAGATTGAATGGGTCTTAAATGTATTTTAGTCACATCACCGATATAACTTTTGGCATTGGTGCTGTAGGAAACACAATTTTAATATGAGGGAAACACTATTTGATGGCGTACCAGACTTCGACACATCACCTGTGTGCGCGCAATGCCTCTGTTTTTGCCCCCTCGGTACGCTCAAATCCCGCAATGAGTCTTCATTGTTAATCTAGGACCTGCAAGCTATGGAAAAATTGGAAAATGCAAGTGTATGGACAAATAGCTTAAAAGAATAACAATTACTCATGGTGATTAAATGTTTATGGAGCAAACTGTACCGTATGTTGAAGGTGTTTCAAACGTGGTATAATGGGGATCAGGTCAGTGGAATCACATATGCAGAGCCACAAGCACAAAGCATATCATCAGAGTCGTTTTTACTGTTCATTTTTAACTGACATCAATGTGTGTACTTAGGGTATTTTTTACTTACAGTGTGTATTTCCATGGCGAGTTTAGTCTTAAACATCATTTAGTGGTATTAAAAAGGTCTGAAAAAGTCTTAAATTTAGCTTCTTTATCCTGTAGATACCCTGTGTATAAAAAAAAGTATGTTGTCAATATTTTAAACCCCCCCAAAAACTCACAAATCATGTATTCAGGGGAGCTCATGTCTCATTAAGAGGAGAGAAGCTTCCTCTGAGTACCCTGTAGTTTGCACCCTGCCACTCCCATCTGCTCCTGCTGAGATTCTGATCAACCTGCGTCAGTGTCTTATATAGAAAACCTGTCTGCTCCATCCTGCAGCGTGTATTACACACATTACCCTGTGTATTCTGAGGCAGCAGGGACGACAATTACATAAAAATGTTACGGATTGTGTCACTGGGCCTTTTGTGATTTATGTAATCTCCATGGCAACAGACACAAACAAGATGCAGAATTAAATGTCAGACATCAGAGCAGCAGTGATTGTCCTGATTTTCACAGAAGAGATTTGCGTCAGTGTTCTGTCTGTGTACGTGTGTTTGTGTGTCTTAAGTTTTCACATTTCTTTTAGGGCGTGTTAATGGTTGGCCCTCCTGGGACAGGGAAGACCATGTTAGCCAAAGCTGTGGCCACAGAATGTGGGACAACTTTCTTCAATGTGTCCTCCTCCACCCTCACCTCCAAATACAGGGGCGAGTCTGAGAAACTTGTTCGTCTGCTTTTTGAAATGGTACGTTAATGTATGTGATCCGTTAAGTGAAAAAACTCACATTACCAAACTAAAGATCTAAATATTTTGTTATATGAGAAAAAACAATTTTCTTTTTCTTAGGCTCGGTTTTACGCACCGACAACTATCTTCATAGACGAGATCGATTCCATCTGTGGCAGAAGAGGAACATCGGATGAACATGAAGCCAGCCGCAGGGTCAAATCAGAACTCCTGGTTCAGATGGATGGTGAGTGGAACAGAGGAGATGAAGCTAAAAGTTATATAAAGATATTTCCTAGAAGTGTCCTGGATAGATTCCAAGATCCTATGTCGTATGGATGATACAGTAATGTGTATTTTGTGATCAGGTGTTGGGGGAGCTCTGGAGAACGATGACCCCTCTAAGATGGTGATGGTTCTCGCGGCCACCAACTTCCCCTGGGACATCGACGAGGCGTTACGACGACGACTGGAGAAGCGGATCTACATCCCCCTGCCCACAGGTGACCTCATCACCTGCAGACTCACCTCACAACAAACCAGAGTGATGGTAACTGAAGTAGTCCAACAGAGGCTACATATAACATCTTTATATCTGATCTGTGTGTGTGTGTGTGTGTGTAGCTGTGGGTCGTGTTGAGCTTCTGAAGATCAACCTGCGGGAGGTGGAGGTGGCTGCCGATGTGGACTTGGACCTCATTGCTGAGAAGATTGAGGGCTACTCTGGAGCGGACATCACCAACGTCTGCAGGTGTGTGTGGAGAAACTAAAGATCAGTTCATCCTTCATTACCTTCACCTCCTAACGAAATACCATTCATAAAAACAGACTTAGGACGGACAAGAGATGTAGTGAGGGAGAGAACTAAAGAGAAGTGTCTCAGGGCTTCATGGGCTTTGTTTTTTTTTCTTTTGCACTAACAAGAGCGCAGCAACATGCTGTAACGCCGAGTTCACACTGGACGCAGACAGGCCTTGAAGCACTAGATTTTCTGTGGAGCGCTGCCTGATTGCTTTCAGCGTCCATGTAGACCAATTGGGCTGTTCACACTGGACACACCGCAGCCCTGAGCTCAACAGCTGGCTCTCATTCTGTAGTGATAATTTTGGTGTCTGGTCTATTTTATTCACAAGCCATGACCGAATCTGGCAGGAGAACACATTGATAATCATTTATGAAAGATCTAAAGGGCATAGTAGAGATGATACAAATGATCTAATTATGATTAATTATGAAATATGTATCCCATGCCTCCACATATTTGTCAGTTGTGTCAAAACAGAGCGCGAGAGACAAGTGGATGCACATGGACATACAGACACATACACATAAGCAGAAGGAGACAGAGCTCCACATGTGATGAGAGAAGAACAGAGTAGCAGAATTGCTTGCTGACCAGCACAGAGAAATGCATTTCTTAAGTGAACAGCAGAGCAACTACAGATAAGTGGCGATCATGGTGTAAGCTGGCTATCAAAGATTCTTATATTTTGCTTATGTAAGCTCTGTGGCAAACAAATGTTTATGGTGCTTACATGTTTTGTTCAACAAATGAATGCAACTTTCATTTTTTTTTTTTCAGCCTAAATGCAATCACCAGAAGTAAAAACCTATAGGCTATAAACAAACTATACCACAGTCACATGATTTCACATGATAAAATTTTTGTAGTCTCATTTGGCCACTTGTTAGCCACCGCCTTTTTAAGACTCATAAAGGCTTCAAAATTCACACGTGGGATATTTACTGACATATGTCATGTTGTATAGCAAAACACGAAAGTCTCTTTAGCTTGTGTTAAGCACGGACCTTCTTTTAGGCATCTAAGCAAAAACACTTTCAAACAGCTCACTGACTTTGAGACAAGGGAACCATGAATGCAAAAATACTAACTCACTTTTGTTTTTTAGGATTCATTCCTGGAGTATTCTATATAAGATAAGATGATCTTTTATTTGTCCCACAGCTGGGAAATTTGTGGCATTACAGCAGCAGAGGGACAGTGCAAACAGGAAACATCAGTAGAAAAAAAATTAAAATACAAAGCAACATATAAATACGTTAAGTAAGTAAACTGTACAAAAACATACAGTAGAGCAGTACAATAAGAAAACAGTATAAAACCACAAAGCAATAAAATAAGGAAGCATCAAAGAGAAGCATAAAGTTATAGAGACAGACTGAATAGCTGATTTTAGTAGTCATGAGTGCGTATGGCTTCAGGCGATAGTTTCTTTATCCTTTTATGATGATCATGTTGGGATACATTAAATGGTTGTATTGAAGGCACGGAAATTACATTGTGCTCACTTTGCTATTGGATTTTATTAATGGACATACTGTTAATGGATTTGAAAATACTACAGGCTAGAATATAAAGAGACAAAGTGTTTCAATTATTTTGAAGTCACAAGAGCAACCATAGACAGTGTGAGTTTTTAGTCACAGATTACATATCTTGATGAACAAGTATTTGCATTTGGCCCTGAACCTAAATCACTAAAAATGTGAAGTTTACAGGTGTCACTTGCCTTATTGTCTGTTACTAACTAGGGCTGCCACGATTAGTTGACTAATCGATGACTAATCGACTATTAAAATAATTGGTGACTATTTTAGTAGTCAACTAATCGGTTTGAGTCATTTTTCATAGAAAAGCACTATAAAAGTACCCCAAAATACTCTTACTACAGCTTCTTACGTTCAGATATTGGCAGCTTTACACACTCTCCCGTGACAGTGAACTAAAACCCTTTGGCGTGAGTATGAAACAAGACAGATGACGTAATTTTGGGGTTTGGGCAAGACAGACCGACATTTTTCAACATTTTAACACATTTTTCAATGAAATGTTTAGTCGACTAATCGAAGAAATAATCGACAGATTAGTCGACAATGAAAATAATCGTTAGTGGCAGCCCTATTACTAACCAGCTCTAACTCTTCATGTATGTTTGCTGATTTTATCATTACAGAAATGAAATTTCTGAGAAATCAACCACAAAATGGCACTAGCTCAGATACATATTCAGATCACTTTGCAAAGTGATGATTATCAATACATATATCCTCATTACTCTGTGACGCAAATCTAAAAATAACAGATTACCTCAGTGATTTAAGTATGAACTGATCACTGGAATAGTTGCTTTAGTCACACTTCTCCTCACGACCCTGTCCTTGGTGTGATTCTTTCTACGCCCAAATTGTCTCTGCTCATGTTCATCCATTTTGACAGCTCATATAAGGAATCCATCAAGTATGTTTGAGGGAGCACATTTATAAAAAAAAAGAAGTGTTATATACGTGTGTGTGTTAAAATACTCCTGCCCCGATCTGCTCCCATCATTACATGTACATCAGAGATGCGTCCATGATGGCGATGCGTCGTCGAATCCAAGGCCTGACCCCCGAGGAGATCCGAGCTCTGTCCAAAGACGAGCTGCAGATGCCTGTGACCATGGAGGACTTCACCCTCACGCTCAAGAAGATCTCAAAGTCTGTCTCTGCTGCCGACCTGGAAAAATACGAAGCCTGGATGGCTGAGTTTGGGTCAGTATAGAGAATGGTACCGTTTAGACTCACAGGGGACCAAAACCTTGAACAGAGGACTTTGAAAATAATGAAAGCCTTGAAGGAGAGGGACTTGGGAGTGTATGTCATGGAGCTGAGTGACCTCTAGTGTGTGAACCAGGCAGCACATCAGGGATCAGGATTACACAGGGGCTCATGTTCACATCAGAAGACTGGTGCCTTTGAGAGAGCACGATGAGAAGTGTCAGTGGCTGCACTCCTGCCCTTTCACACACTCTCCCCTTGTTGTTTCTCCAACACAATTGTTCATGTAGAGACTATCAATCGTCCAGCTGCTGGCTGACTGACTTAAGTGACCTGAAGAAGAAAAGGGAACTTTAAATGTAAAAAGTAGCCTAATACTCACAGGTAGACCAGGGAATGCACGCTAGTTTTACTTAAGCAAGGCCTTGTGCAAGAATATTTCTGTATTCCCTAAACCCATGGTACTTTGTATCTGAAGCTTGTTCGTATGAGTGTTATACATCGAATTCACCAAACAGACCTGTCGTTAATTGCTCATTTCAAACTGATGACTGTTAACTGTTTACAAGAGGGTGAGTGTTTGTCAGAATCAGTCATTTGGATAATCAACGCCCCTAAAACTGCCATGAAAGAGTCCCTGCTCTGCTCCATTTGTGGGCAAGTTTTATTCAAACAATGTTATAAACGTAAGGAAAAAGAAGAATTTCATGCCCCCAAACTTCACACCCAGCTGTCAGAAAGCTATGGTGGCCGACAAGGGCAAATGTGCTACAACAGCCCAAAACATTTCTATTAGGAGAAACATGCTGCAGCTTCAGAAACCAATTCAAAAACACACGGTACGTGCTGCATATAAAAAACATGCTGCAGAAAGCCAAAACTAATACATTAACAGCAAAGACGCTGCAAATACAAGAATGATACAAAGTCAAAAACATACAAAAACCCAAAAAGAAATTCTTCTTCTCTCTCTTGGGTAGAAACCAAACATTTCTACTTAGCGCTCCTCCAAGAGGCCTGGAGAACTTCGGTTGCATTGACTGGCTGTACAGTATTTTTCTTTTGCATTTGTTTTTGGGGTTTGTGTGTTTCTGACTTTGCATCGTTTCTGCATTTGCAGCTCATTTGCGTTGTGTTATTTGTTTTGGATTTTTGTTTGTTTATGAATTGCATCGTTTCTGAAGCTATAGCACGTTTCTCCTAAAAGGGGCTGTTGTGGTGCATATGGTCTCGTCAGTCACCGTAAAAATCAGCAATCAATAACATAAGTTAAGCAGTGTAAGTAGTTGTTTTATAATTATTTTGGAGAACACCAGAGTTAACCTGGAAAGCTACCTGCACCAAAACCCTGACACAGATGTCGGCGTGAAAGGTTGCATCACAAAATATGCCCATAAACCTACAGAAAAGGTGGTTGAACTTAAATCACTCGTATCTGCTGCTTATGAACAAATCTGTTAGTACTGATAGTTAGTACTGAGGCGTTTTGTCTTAAAGAACTGTATGTTTTAGCACTTTTAATGTATTTCCTCCAGGAAAGTCCATGTACTTACTACTGACTGAACACACTTGAAGAACCACAATGTCTGTGTTAAACAGTGTCTGAGTATGTGTTTGTGTTTTTATGTTGTTTTTATTATTTGTGTTTTAAGTTTATGTTTGTTGAGGAAATGTAGTCAACCTTAAAGAACATGGCCACCAGATCCATGGATCGTTTATTAAAAGATGAAGTCGATTCTTGCCTAAAATCTCGCCTACTTCATGGTACTTGAATTTTATGAATTATTCAGTTGAGTGAGTCAGATTCTTAGCTATCTTGTCAATAACATTTCATATTGAATGTCTGAATCATTCCATGATGCTGAAGCTATTGAAATACTTAGTATTAAATTAAATCTTGGAAATAGTAGTCCAAAGAAAATTCCGACTCAAGGCCCTCTTGCTATCTGTTTCCAGGGCTTTCAACTGTCACCATCACAATGTCTTTATTGGCAGTTTGCTCTTTTTTCATGGAGATGGATCGGTTGACATTTGAGCTAAGAATTAACTTGGTTAACTTCAACCTTTGCCTGATATCAGACAGAGTTTTCAACTCGTTGCACTCTGTTTCCATCTTCCATCTGCTGCATTAACTCTAAATGATTTCTGTGGGTGAGGTGGATTTGATTTTCCCTACCCAATAATGAGACCAATGTAAATCCACACATGTGTAGCCGTGCCAACGTACTTCTTTTGTCAGAGTTCCTAACTCATGTTATCAGAGAACCGGGGTTACCTTTGTAACCTAAAGTTTTAAGAGAGTAGCAGAGCAAAGTAAAAAACAAACTGCGATGTCAGGCGATATTGAGAAGATACGTCCATTTAGAACAGCCTCGATTGCAGTGTCTGTTTTGTCCACAGCAGTCGCCATTGTTGTTATAACTCCTCATTTGTTGAGATCAGAGTGACCTGGCAAACATTGTGATGGAGAAACATTGTGATGTGGAAATAGATGCCGTTTCCAGAACTCGAACATATCTTCATCTTACTTGGTGTTCTACCACACTTTGTTCTGCCAACGACATCTATTTCCCCATCACAATGTTTCTCTCTCACAATGTTTGCCAGGTCACTCTGCTCTAAGACTTGTCCCCAGAGTGAGGCCATCCAGGGTTGCTTAATTTTAATAAACACGTTTTGCTTCTAACTAGACCTTAAGGGTCAAGTATTTCTAGGCCTTTTTGCCACCACAATGTGCCGCTTGACAACACTTGACAATGATGTCAGTCCTGCCCGTGGTGCTGATGGGCAAAACATTAGTTCCCTAGCAGGACTCAATGGATTGTTTCTTATTTTAACTGAGAAACTGCTGTATTATGTCACAATGCCAGACAAATCAGTCAACTGGAACTCAGTGAAGGGAATGATTCAAAGGTCTGGACCCAGGCAACTTTAATCCAGCATGAACAAGCAATCTTAAAAATGCTATAGGTGGCATCACAACTGGTACATTTCCATGACAAATGAGAGGACTCCATGAAGCTCAGGAAGAAGCTTGTACAATGACCTTGAGTTGGGATTATATTGTTGATCTATTGAAATATTGTTTTGTAGCTGTAGAGTAATTTAGTGAGTTGCTCATGTTTTTAAATCTGTGGCAGAAACATTTAGATGTGACATTGTGCAGAACAATGTGCATATTTTTTTGTGTATATATGGAAAAATATTGAAACAACATCATATGTACATTAGTCTGTTCTATCAGCCTGACTTTACATACAGGCTGGGCCTTGTTTTGTCAGAATACACTGTGCCTCCTTCACTGTTCTTCACGGATGTCCTTGTTAAGATTTTTTGAGATCTGTCTCATGCTGCTTTATCATTCTCCGTTTCTTCTGTAGCACTCAACCATTCGACATTTTGTTTTTCTAGATCAACAGAAGTGCATTTGACATTTGAAATGTCTTCTCCTGTTTATTTCTTTTCAAATGTAGGACAGGTTGTACAAAGCACTCTTTTATGTGCTCAAATTATTAACCCCTCTTGACTATTTGTTCCTTGATGAATCTAAAACAGACTTTACAGAAGGACAAGCAGTCTTTGCATCCCCTAATTGCAATGATTTGTAATTTAAGAGTGCCAGAAAAGAGTGGACACCAAAAAAAGCAGATTTTTTTTACTATTTTGAAGGCAAAACATTTTCTAAGCTCCTAAATGAAATCTGATTCATACCCATAATATGACACACCTGAAGTTGAGCATTTAAGTCTGTTATCAATATCCTCATGAACTGCTTTTGTTTGCAATGTGATCAAATATTTAGCTTAGAAACAAAGACATATTCAAGTACTTTGAAAGAATTTGCAGTACCCATAATAACACACATCATGTATCCTAAGTATGATGTGTCCTGGTGTCCTCTGTCTGTCTAATGAAGGAGTTTTAAGGATGTGACGATCCACTTGTCCATTGCTGTTCGACTTGTCTCTCCTCATTGAAATATACTGTATTTATATTTATATAAAGGTTATAATGTTTCTGTTGAGCCTATTTTAAAGAGCTGTTGGTTCAACTTTATGATCATCTAGGAGACTGTCATTTGTAGCTCTGTTGAACTATATTGCATTATACAGATAGGTGTTTCTACCATCTTCCACTGATATAAATGTGGTCTGCAAAATAATACTAGTCGCTATAAGGTTGTACTTTCCAGAACCCCCCTGTAACTATCTTAAGGCTCATGGAGTTCTCTAGAAATCATTTCAGGTGTTCATGTGATATATAGTCTCACTTTAGTGTGGACTCAAGGACTGTGGTGAGGACCGTCCTCCAGGCTTTGGAGGGCCTTAAGACAGTGAAGAAGGACCCAACAGGTGAGAGAGGTGGAAGCAGGGTTTGAGTCTGTGCTGTGATTTTAATAAATGATGGAAGTGGGTTTATTTTAACATGTGCTTACAGTGGGTAGAGACTCCTCAATGCCAGAGACACCTGGATAGGACAGGTAAGTGCTGATAAGAATTAGGCCCCTTTTGTGGGGAGATTGATTTTCTTGTCATGGAAATTTCTAATTTAGTTTTTCAAGGCTGGTCAACTTAAAAGGTGGAAATTACCTGAGCATTTGCTGTTATATTTAGGGATGCACAATAATATCTACATCATCTGTATCAGCAGATAAAGGCTGCTATTGTTAGGATTGTCTCAGGGTGAGCATCATCTAAGCCTGCTGCAGTAGGGTGAATTTTTTGGTTGAAAACGTTACAAAAAGATAAATATAGCATCTTATGCATGTAACCCAAGTCAAAGTAGTTTTCTTATTTTCCTACTAAATGTTTTGAAGATCATTGTATTTCATGGCTGCATCTGCCAGTGGGCCATCACAGTAAGAGTAGGGATAATATGTTAATTCCACCCCAGGAGAGACTTGATGTTCTCTGCAATTATGTGGGGAAAAATATGTGCACATATTGGTGTTGGCAATCAGCCAAAATTAGTTGGAAAGTAGTTATCAGATATTGGCAAAAATCCAAAATCGTGCATCCCTAGATATAATGCTTTAGTACAATTCCATGTGAGAAGACCTGGCAATACTGCATACTAAATACTTTGTTTTGCTTATGAAATATGCTGTCAACTTAAACTAAGTAAAAGCAAATAGGTCGCCTCACTGTCTTAATGTAAGCAAGTCATTAATAAAGGGTCCTGAGTCTCATTATTCATTCATTCATTAAAAATTCTTACAGTGATCCAGTGACTTTGCAGTTTTAAATGGATTTTGTTAGTGATCAAACCGTTCATCAGAGCAGTTTTCCTGATGAATTAAAGCACTAAAATGACACAGTAAGGAGCTGGACGAAGAAGTCAGTGGTTAACAGAGTGGGGAACCTTGAGGCGATCGAAAGTGTTGATATCTTATCATCACATCACTTAGATGTTTGACCTTCACTGTGCAAAATGTTAGTTTGATAGCAGGAGGTTGTTTTCTTATTCATCTGCTGAAGCACGTTCCCCTGTGCTCACCCTGAATCTTGTATGAGAGCTACGAGCATGATTTGTAACATCATAAGTAGACTGGAGGCCAGTGGTCCGGTATCAGTTGTGGAGAGTGACTAAATATATTTTCTAAAGCGCAGCACATAAGTATAGCTTAAAGGTGCATGAGCTAGTGTTTCCATTTTATGCTACTTTATACCACTTAAGAGGGATGTATCATACTTGTTACTTCACTACATGTGTCTTGAATCTGTAGTTAATGGTTACTTTGCAGATTTTAATTTTACATACCAAAGTTTTAACCAGTTTATAAAATATTCTGCTTTATTATGGATTAAAATCCTTCTCAACCAGCTACAACATACAAAAGCTGCTTACATTTTAAGGCTTCAGTAGTTGTCCTTAAATATAATATGTACTTAGACGGGTCATTCTGCAAAATACTTCTACTTTAGATACTTTAATTATATTTTGTTGATAATGCTTCTGTACGTCTACTTGAACATTTTGAATGCAGGACCTTTATTTGTGATGGAGTATTTTACACTGTGGTGTTGTCATCTTTACAGTGAGGGAGAAGAAATAGACATAATTTTAATGAGGTAATTTAACTTTTTTGTTGGGAAGAAAAAAACAGACACAAATAATCATTCTAAGCAGAGTATTTTTATGTCTGGAGGGGATCATTAATAATCACTATTTTACACATTACTTTCTCTTCACACTCACCTCAGGCTTAAACTCAACACTTAACAAGAAATTACAAATTTCCTCCTTCATGTGTTTTCTCCAGTGTTGTAAGAAGAGCTCACATCTTTTACTTAAGTGAAACTAGCAACACAACAGAGTAGAAATACTCTGTTACAATAAATGCACTGATGCAGAGGTGGAGCCATTTAAACAAATGTATACTGCTGGGTAGCTTAATCTATGATAATATATATAATACATATGCTAATTATATTTTATATCAATCTTTGACTGCAAAATAACTTTTTGGATAAATATTGTGGCATATAAAGTACAATATTGGCTTCTAGAGTGTAGTGGAGTAGAAGTATAACGTAGCATAGAATGGAAATACCCAAGTACCTCAAAATTGTACTTGAGTATGCTACAATACTTGAGTGAGTGTACTTGGCATAGGCATAGATTTTCAATATTTTCACCCTTCAATATTTTGATCACACAGAGGACTTTTAGTTCACTGAACTGCTAGAACACTTCTCATGCAACAATGTCTCCAGTAAAGTAGGTGGTGGCAGTATGCAACCTCAAAAGCAAGGGTTGTACTCTGCCATAAAACAGAGAGCAGAGGAAGCAGCACAGTTGAAGCAGGAAGTATAATGGAATTTTCATCCTAACTTAATGCAGAAAAAGCACAAATTGATAAATTAAAATTCACCAGAATGCAGGAAATTAAGTGTTTGACCCTCAAAATGTACAGACTGGTGCAGGACTGAGTCCTAAAACCCAGAGATAAGTAAGCATTTTGCACTCCTGGTTCCCTCTTCTTGAAATCAGTGGGTTTTTGATTAGTGACATGACATGAGATCTGTGGTTATCACAAGCTTCACATTTTATTCTACGACATAAAATATGTCAGTAAATATCTTACTCTCTAATTCTGAAGCCTTTACATGTCTTAAAAAAGGTGGTTGGTAACAAGTGGCTAAATCAGACTACAGAGCGTCATCACTGTGAACATAGCTTTACAGCATTTATGTGGTGGCGTCATTAAGTCATGCGACAGTGGTGTAGTACGTTTATAGCCTCGCATTAGCACTTCAAGAAGAAAGTGTCATGAACTTGTTTGCTGCAGGGTTTATTTTCTGCAATGACCCAAAATCCCCCTGGATGTGAGAACAAAGCCTACACCCTTGTTACTTAGGGACTGTTCGTTACTTATGAGGGGGAGGGGGTGGTGCAAATAGGGGGACGCATGTCAAATATTTTTTTTAAGCACTGAGGAGGGACTAATGTTTTTATTTTGGCTGAGGGGAGAGGCATACAAATTTAAATGGTTGTATTTTGTATTTGTTTTACCACCCACTTTTAAACAAAACATGCCTTCCAAACCTGCCTGACACATGCCGCGTTTTTGCGCCCTCAAATGTATTGTTTTCAATGTAGACACGCAGCAGGTGCGCTCAAATGCCAGAGCGACGCCTTCACGGTGTGCACGCATTCCCAAGAGCCCATTTTTTTTTGGGTGTGACAGCTGCTCTGAGATAAACAGAGTTCAGCTTTTAGAACGCAGCAGTGCACGTCATGTCATGTGACGAGGACCAACCAATCACAGCCAACAGATATCTTTACCTTCTTCTGTAAATATGCAGTGTGATAAATACAGATAAGTTGATCATGTCAGTGCAGGGCTACCCAGAGCTTTACATCTGTCCCACAGACGATAGGCCTACATACTTATAAACAGCGCCTGGAAGAAGATCAGCTCTGCACTCAGGATTTCAGGTAAATAGGCTATATGATGCTTGTTAAGGTTGCCTAGCAACCTCAGACACAACCTGCTGCTGTGCTCTTGAGAGCTGGTACAAACAGGGCACAAAAGTAGCACCCAGTGCCGGACCTCCGGTTTTCCAGTCAATTAGAGACGCGACGTGTGAACAGCCCCGAAATGCTCACAGCGGAGTAGGTTCTGCATAGAGCTGACTAACAAGTATACATCCTGTTTTAGGTCCTGTTTATACGACAACTATTTCACCCAATAACAGTTAACTTTAGTTGCGTTTTGGCTGATCTTTTACACGACAGCAGGGTTTTGGGTGCCTATAAAAGGCAACATTTTGAAAACGGGTTCCAGAGTGCAATTTTTTGGAAACAGCACCGTCTTCATTGTCATGTAAACTTGCAATATGCAGTTACTCTGAAGACGGAGACTTTTCACACATGCGCATTGCGGTTTCAGTAACTAGACACGTGCGAGAAAGTCAACCATCACAACAATGGCGGACTCCTGAGCTCTGTTTGTGCTGCTCACCCTACTGAATTTATCAACACTTCTGCAAAGTGTAGATTCACTGTAGCAACTCCACCTCGCCGTCCGTCCAGACAAACGTTCATGCGGTTGCCATTTTGTTTGTGTATACATCACTGCTCTGTAGAAGGAAGCGCACCGCCAACTGGCCTGGCATGTATACTACAGTGTTTTTGGTCATTTTTGCGCATTGGTGTGCACAGGTGATTGTTATCAAAACATTGTAGTCTGAATGTGGGCCTTTTTTCATAATAAAAATTAGAAACAATTCCGTTTTTAGCGGATCATTTTTGTGTGAACATGGCCTAAGTTTATAAAATCTAATAACTAATTTAGTCACACCACAGCCACGCCCCTCCTCTGATAAGTTAAGAACAGTCCCTTAGTTAGGTTCCATCACTACACTTGAACAATGTAATATAATTTAAAATACAGTAACACCTGTCAATTAAAAGTAGTGCAGTAAAAAAGTACAATATTTCCCTTAGAATGTAGAGTAGAAGAAGAAGTACCTCAAATTGGACCTTTGCGTAAATGCGCTTTTTCGCTATTCTCATCTTTATCCTGCTTTTGGGAAATGAAATAATGGTCATATTACTGATCTGTCTCCACAGTTATCGATGCATTAAATAGCTGATACTCTGTGCTGATAGTGTATCTGCGGGCTGGTGTGATGCGTGTCTCCAGTGACGCTGTGTGGCTGCATCAGCGCACGGTTGCAACGCGACAGTTCGCAGAGCCGTTTTTTCCTCCCGTTATTATCACAGTGGGTCTAACGTACGCGCCACAATGGAGACCAAACCGGTCATCACCTGCCTGAAAACCCTCCTCATCGTCTACTCCTTTGTCTTCTGGGTACGTAACCTTTCCGTATCTTTTTTTGAACATAACATAATCCACCATGATGTGGGTTTTTTTTTGTTGTGCGTGATGAAGGGGTGGACAGTGGCATCATCCTCATCATCATCATCGACGGAATCATGCTGTTGTTTGATTATACGGCTAAATGGAAATCATTTGCTCAACTCAAGCGTTTAAAATGTGGATTTTATCGCCATGTGTTATATAACATGTGTTCAGGTTGCACGTATTTGGGCTGCCGGGCGGTCGGCGGTGTGAGAACATGGCACACATAGCATCATGGTTGTTGTCAGTTAGCGATGAAGAGAATGTTAACATCACCGCAACGATTTAACTCTGTCTGATGGGACCGACGTTAAGGGCCTTGTCTGTTTGATAAGGCCCGTTCAAAGCCCGTTTTCTCACCAAATAATGTGCATTTCGGGGCCGTTGATTATAGACTATAGATTCTACTATAGATTTTTAAAGGGACCCTGCACCCACACAGCCTCTACTACCTTACAGATACAATATAACCCCCTGTAAACCTATTGATTCCTTATTAAAATGCTTTAAAGTGCCTTAAACTGAGTGTCCACTGAAACAGAAACATTCAGCAATGATAGAAGAAGTACAGATATTTTAATTTAGTAAAGATAGCAGTACCACAGTGTAAAAATACACCTTCAGTCCTGCTTTCAAATCTTACTTGAGTAAAAGTACAGACGTATTATCAGCAAAAGTGTCTAAAGTATAACTGCCCCAATGAGTGCAAATTATATTTGATGGCTATTATTGATGCCTTAAGCAGCATTTTTATGGTGCAGCTGCTCAAGAGGGAGCTAAATTGATAAATCTGGATATTATAGCCTAATCTATAACAAAGCATGGCATATTATAAATTGATTATATGTTATGTATGTAAAACTTAGGTCTGCAGAGTAACTACACGTCAGATAAATGTAGTGGAGTAACAAACAACATTTTAACTTGCAATGCCCGGAGGCCACATTTGATAAATGACAGGAGGCCAGTGGCTGTCCGTAGCCCGCATATGTATGCAGGGGCGCTTCTTGGATTTGAGGACATTCGGGACTTAGTCCAGATCTCTGTCAGGGGGTCCGGGGATCCTCCCGTGGTGCTTGTCATCATAAACATGCTCTATTTTTTCATGCTTTATATGGCACCTTATATTAAAATTAGGGATGCACAGTTAATTGACATATTATTGGAGTCGCAAAATGGCAAAATGCAATATTCAAATCACAGCAGCTGCAACATACTGTTATAAATGAAGCACTGTGGTGCTACATAGATCCCCTGGCCTACGACTCATATTCCAGATGTAAGGATACATGCTTGGTTGATACAGATCCCAGCAAAAACCCTATCATCATCATTTTCTGTTTTGCTTTTGTGAAGATGCAATGCAAAAATGACCACTCCCATTAAAATTGGGAGTCATATTACAATCGCACTATAATTGTGTAGCCTTAATTAAAAGTACAAAAAAATCCCCAGTGTGAATCAAGTTATTTTTACTGTTGAGTATCACTGCCCTTCATCTACTCCCTTCAGTGGTGCAGGAAACATTTACTTAAGTAAAAGTACTAATATCACACTGTAGGAATAAAAGTCCTGCACTCAAAAATCTACTTGAGGACAAGTCTTTGTATCAAAATATTCTTAAAAATAAAGGTATTTATTAGGCAGAATGGCCCATTTTCAAAGATTCAGACACTGGTTTGTAATTACTGATGCATCTATGTGTGAGTATCACTTAGATAAGCTAAACTAAGCTAAGTTAAGATAAGATAAGATAGTATTTATTCCGATTAAAATTGCTGTACAGCAGTTGCAATACAAAGTTAGAGAAGTGAAGCTACAAAGACTGCAGTTCTTAAGGACTAAAATAACAGCAGAAAAAGCAAATGCAGTCTATAGCCAATATAAAATACAATATATAGCAAAGGCAGAAACTATCGCTGTACTACCACTTTAAATACTTGTACAGCTAATCTTGAGAGTCCTATAGTTGTTTGTTGACACAATTTTAAGGCTGTACTCTGTGGTGTGTAGCATTATATCAACAGTAGGGCTGCAAGTAACAATTGTTTTAAATTATCGATTAATCTGCTAAAAGATTTTTTTGTTTAGATTAGAAAACAGTTAAAAAATGGCTGTCACAATCTTTTGAAAGTCAAAGTCTAAAGATAGTATGTTTACTATAATGAAAGATCGTCACACTGGAGGAGCTGGATTCCTAAAATTGTGGCAGTTTTGTTCGATGAATGACCTAAATGATAATCAAAATAGCTGCCCACAAAGAAGAAATGAGAGATACTCGCAAGCTCCCAGTAATTTGCTTTTTCCACATTCAAAAATCCACATGAACAAAAAGCAGGCAGCATTTTCTGAAGGATCTTGCAAATGTCAGTGTGTGGACTGCCTCTCCTTTCCCTTTGTGTGCTGTTTTTGTCCTGCACCTGCACCCAGCTGGGGCTGGAACGTGTGCAATGTCCACCTTCTCTGCGGGATACTTTGTCCTCCACATTTACATACCAAGCAAAAACACATTAGACACACCCTCCAATATCATGCAAAACACCGCACCACAAAAGCCTCAAATTATACCAGAGAGTTGAATCAATACCTCTGGAGGTTTGTTTTTTTTAACCAAGGTCTTAAGCTGCAAAGCCTGGCTCTGATTTGAAATTCATAAAAATGCTGTGTTCACAATGCAAAGCAAGCAGTATGTAACAACATTTGAAGAATAGATTCTGCTTACATTCCCACTGTAATTAAGGCTCTTTGTAGTAAACGTCTGCAGGATGTGAGCCAGCAGATCACTTCAGAGAGAATCTCTCAAACCAAATAAATTTGCTTCCAATTTTGGGACAATTTCCTTTGAGATTAATTTGAGAAATGAAATAGTATTTTATCCTGGAGTGGTTTGGATATGCCTGCGTCTACCTTTTGAGTATCAGCCAAGTCTTCAAGTATGATACAGCATCTATGCAAGCAACAATATGAATCTCTTTTGACCATAACTCTGCATTATAGGCCATTTTCTGATAGCAGCCACAGAAAGCCAAGGTAGAATTATCTAATAAGGACACATGGAAGAGATTTATCTGTCCATAATGTGTTCAGAAACTGAAGAGGACTTTCCCTGCTTCCTAATATTGCAGAAGAAAGTCCTGAAAGAAACAGACTACGTTTACATGTACAAAATATTCTAGTTTTTGCCCTTATTTTTACCCTGTTTATATGGCTAATGAAAGTGAACATTCCTCTAATATTTCTTTTTCCATGCAGCCATGTACACTCTGATTAATGTGCCCTAACGTTACGTTATTATGTCCCACTTGTCATTTTGCTTCTTTTGCACTGATGGCAGATTTGTTCGACTGTGCAAACACAGCCCTCCTCTTTCATTCTTTCAACCCCCTTCTTGAAAAGGTTGTCGTTCATAATGTTGTCGTTAATAATGTCTATCATGATGTTCTAAAAGGTGTGTTTGGGCTTTTCATTTGGGCATTCATCTCTATTCTACAACCTTGCAAACTGTTGGCTAGTTGGTTTTGTGTACAGTGTATCCATGACAATGCACAGAGCTGACCGTAAACAGGCAAGAGGCCATGTGTTGCAAACTGCGTAAAAAGCCGCAATTGACCCTTCACTAAGTCCGCCCCTGGACGCAGACTGACCAATCATAATGTAGCATCAGGCTGGCTCAGACCAGGGTCTGACAACAACACAGCTGTGCTCCATTGACTTAATGCAGTCTTTTCAGATTTCCTTCATTTCCAAACTGGTTTTGTGGATTTGGAGCTAAATGTTGTGTCCAGCTCCGTGTCATAACAGTGTGCACAGATGAATGGTGTTTGACTTCACCCGGAGATCCCTATTCGTCCGGCGGTGGAGGCCTGAGTGGTGGCAGCAAACACTGTTCATCTGCACACACTGCGATGCCACACAGCTGGTTCAATATCAGCAAAGTTTCCCTTTATATTCATTGTGTTCTGTGGCGATCAGCAGTGATGTGGTGGTTCACTTTTACACTGTGATCTGTAGCCTATAGTTCGGCTTTAGCTTCTAACTGTCTTTGTCTTTTTAACCTGTTGTTGCTGCTGAGTCAGTTTGACATCCTGGATATATCCTTCAAACACAGACTGTAGACCCCTCTGTCTGCTTCTCTCTGGAATCACTGTTTCATTTCTCCAAAAATATGATAATATTTCTTCAGGGAGTGCAGTTAGTTACAGTGTGGGCTCCATGCTTACTCTGACGGCTTGTTGGACCATCACAAAGGGGCGGGGCTTAGCGAAAGGTCAATTGAGATGCATATTCTGAATGTGCTATACATGTCCAAAGAATGCTTCTAAAACGTGACTAATTCTGGTGTTGTATCGAAGTGTGTTCCCCTGTTGAATAGTGTGTCCCCCATCTGTTAATGTGTAGTTCCCCCTTCAGTGGTTAGGGTTAGGGCTAAGGGTTTTGGTTAGGTTAAGGTAGGGGGAAACACACAGGCTATTCATGGGGAACAGTTTTCAACACAACATATGTGGCGTATCCCATGTCTTCATCAGAAAATGCTTCAACTGGAAAAAGGCCTACTGCAGGACATCCAAATGGAATATGTTGTTTACATGACTCAGATCCAGAATGTTGTCATATTGTGAGTAATAGTGGAACATTAGTGTGCATGTAAACCAAGTCACAGAAGCTGAAAGCAGCCTCTAAGTTCTGCACTCACGAGGGCTTATAAAACAGGGCTGTGCTGTGTTTCTCTCTGCATTGCAGACACGTGTCTGTGTCACTGATATGAACTTTTATATTTAGTCAGGATTGGAGTGTCTCTTTGCGCTCCCTTACATCCACAGCATCAGGTTTCAGACGTCTAAAGTGCACGGGTGTCTCACAGCTTGGTGGCTCCCTTCAGCCCCGAGGGGTGAAGCAATGGAGAGGCTCACTGGCAGCAGGAGAGCTGCCCTCAATGTCGGGCCGAGGTT